GCATTGCTGTATTTCTGATAATCACTTTGCAGCAAAGAGAGGAGATTATGGGATTCAGATGCCTCATCTCAGAGTTCAGTGCTCAGTGCTCCCTTTCTACCTTGACCTTTACAAAATAGCAATAGTTAGGGTAAGAGAGAGAGGGTTTTGTATTGGTCTCAGCTTATCAATAATGATGCAACCAGCTAAGAATGCCTGAGGTTCGATACCACTTGTGGTGAGCCCTCAGAGGTACTTCCCTGGAGCTAATGTGGCTGGACCGCCCCTCATGGTTTTTATTATGATTGCAGGACACAGCTCAGGGAAAACTATCAAGAACTTTGAAAAAGTAAGGGCCACACAAGAAAGTCACCACTAGAGAGAGGGAGGGAGTGTGAACCTGGGGCTCTGCCTTGATTATGGTCATGAGTGGGCTGCCTAGGGTTTCACAGGTTCCCTCTCTATTGGAGAATTTAAGATATAAAAGTAGGAATTGGGGAACAAAGGGAACAACAGGATCACTTAAGTGATTGGTTATTTAGCCTACCTGGGGCTTTATACTAGTCATTTTACTAGTAGCTATGATATGTAGCTGGCAATATGCGTTTTTCCACATGGATGTCTTTGAAATTGATGTCTTGGCAATCAAAAGTTTATTGTCAGGCCCTTGCACTACAGGGAGGGATGAACAGGTGGAGCACAGAGAATTTTTAGATCAGTGAAACTTCTCTATATGACATTATAATGGTGGATACTTGTCATTATACATTTGTCCAAATCCATGTATGGTACAACACTATGAGTGAATCCTTATACAACTATGGGCTTTGGGTGATAATGATATCTCAGTGAACGTTCATAAAGTTTAACAAATTACTGCTCTGGTGGAGGTATACAGGTAATGGGGGAGCTTTGGGGGGGGCAGAGATATAGGGGAAATCTCTTTACCTTTTGTTCAATTTTGCTGTGATCCTAAAACTGCTATAAAATATAGTCTATTACAAAAAAGAAAAAAAAGATAGCATTAGTTAAGTTGCTCTCTGATTGAGCTGCTCCTCAGATTGCTAAAAGAAATTGAGTATATCTTAGTATATGGAGTAAACAATGTGGATAAAAAGTGTTTTTCAGTGTGTAGGACACAATCCCTGATGATATAAGCAAGGGAGAAATTTCCTGTGGCATTCAGAAGCAGAGCTCCTAGTTGTCCACCGGCTTCAGGACAGTCTAACATTCCTCTTCTTTCTTCCCACATATGGCGCTCTTTGGAGTCTTTTCTTTTTTTTTTTAAAGATTTTATTTATTTGACAGAGAGAGAGACACAGCGAGAAAGGGAACACAAGCAGGGGAAGTGGGAGAGGGAGAAGCAGACTCCCCGCTGAGCAGGGAGCCCGATGCGGGACTCGATCCCAGGACCCTGGGACCATGACCCGAGCCGAAGGCAGACGCTTAACGACTGAGCCACCCAGGCGCCCCACTTTGGAGTCTTTTCTATTCTTCCTGACCAAACATAATGAAACACTGAATAGAGCTTCAGGCCACAGCATTTGAAGAACAATAACATAACGTTTCCAGCTATTGAAGGAGTCATTTTATGATTGATTATGGGATGATTAAGCCATTTATGTTAAGTAGATCTGGGAGCATCTCAAATAAGGTTTTTATCCTCTTCGAGTAGGGTGATTTTATGGAGTCTGAAACAAGGTCTTTTCTCCGCCTTTGACATGGGCAAAGCCTTTTCCTCCCTTGAGGTAGGAGTACCATTTTCCTAGCTTCCCTCCTAGCCGATGCTCGATGTTCTGGTTTATCAAGGGCGGAGAACCCCCTTTCCTGCCACCTCCGGAGCTCTAGGACTACATTACCCCGAAGACCATGCGTTCAGAGGAGCCGATGACGGATCAGGACGAGGCGTATCTGTGCGTGCGCATCGCGTGGGGGCGGGACTTCCGGCCTCCTGTTCCGGGCCGTGGTGGTTTGCAGTTCTGGGGAGTCCCTTCCGCAGGGCTGAGGCGTAGGTGACAGGGGGGAGTAGGCGTGAAAACAGTCGTCCTCACGGCAGAGATTTGGATCCGCGGCTGGCGACGCCGCCCGGGCTGCCTTGCGCGGGGGACGGGACAGCGCTCGCCGGCTCGGGTGTCCGCCCCGCCCACTGAGTTCGACGGCGGCGGCCGCGCGCAGGGACCCGGCTCAGGTAAGCGCTC